CACAAGGATGTGATGAGTAGCTCTACTAGCCCATCACTCAAGAATGCATATGTGGACTGGTTTTGTCACCTCAGAACACATTCTTTGGTCCTGAAAACCCTGGCAGTTGTGCTGCAGAGTAAAAGATGTGCAGCACTGTGGTTGTTCATCCCTCTGATGTTTTCAGTAACGTTTCAGGGAACTGTTGATGAAAGCGATTCCTAGTGATTATTCAGTTCTGGGTATAAACAATGCTTTTGCTACATTGGCTGTTTGGCTGAAAGATAGATCTTGTATTCAAATGTTGCCTGTCCTGGAAGGAGTTGAAGAATGTTTCCATGTCTGCAAAACATTTCCTCCATCTCTGTTCTTGCTCTTGTTATGCAGGTGAGGACAACTCGATGATTTTTGACTGTACGGAATGTTATGACCCTGTTACAAAGCAGTGGACAACTGTGGCTTCCATGAACCATCCCCGCTGTGCACTGGGAGTGTGCACTTGCTATGGTGCTATCTATGCTTTGGGTAAGTTCTCTTTTTTTTTTCCCCTAAGTGAAGTTAATTTTAAAGATTCATGGAACTTGCAAAGCGATTTGATCTTAAATATCACGTCTCGGTGATGCAAATTTGCAATTTAGGTTTTGAAAACCAGCTGTGTCAATAAGCATTAATATACCAAATCTTTGTGGATTAGTTATTGTTTAGTTGTAACTTATGTCCATTGTAGACTGACTGCATGCTGGTTTCAGAATTTGTCCTGGAACAGTGCACTGTATGCTAAACATGCAGCTAACACACAACTTCATGCCATTAAATTCTTTCCTGTGTTTGCTGTTATTTGCAGGAGGTTGGGTTGGAGCAGAGATCGGCAACACAATTGAAAGATTTGATCCTGAAGAAAATTGTTGGGATGTGGTGGGAAGCATGGCTATGCCCCGTTACTGCTTTGGGTGTTGTGAAATGCAAGGTGTGTATTGTTAAGTTTGTATCCATAAATAGTTCCAACAGCTGTTGGATTTTGAAGCTTTATGTTTCAGTCATGAATTCTTACCATTGTCTTGTACTGAGCTGTCAGTTGCACATGTTTGTGCTTCGCTTGTTTGCTCTTCTAATACCACATTTCTAATTCTACAGAACTCAAAGACTATAAAGTTCTCTCTTGTCTTCTGCCTTTTATCTCATGAAAACAGTTTTTCCTGATACTGTTTTTATTTACCTTCCATATTTGGGTTTGTGTGTGTTTCTTTGTGACAATCTGAAGAGTTGCTACAGGTTATTTTAAGACAGACATGTCTAAAGACTTGGTAAATAAATGTGCCTATTAAGTGTTTGATTCAGACCTGGTCAGCATTTGCAACCTTCTGAATTCCTTCCCCTGGACTTAATTAATTTTTGCTTTCATCAGAGCTTCCAGTGTTCAATCCCCAAGTTACTCATGCAAAAGCTTTATGTGTGCTGCTACTGAACAAAGGGAGGTTTTTCTGTCGCTCTTAAGCCATCTTAACGTCAGGCTGGAACCTTTGTTGTGACAGTCATTTTCTGTCTTTCTTCGTATTATGAAACCTAAGGGAGGAGAAATTCTGTTCCTGCAGGTTTGATTTACGTTGTTGGTGGTGTCAGCAGTGAAGGAGTAGAGCTCCGCTCTGTCGAAGTCTACGACCCGATATCCAAACGCTGGTCTGAGCTCGCTCCGATGGGCACCCGGAGAGCGTATCTTGGTGTGGCTGCTCTCAACGACTGTATCTACGCCGTGGGAGGCTCCAGTGAATCTCAGGATGCACTTGCTAGTGTAGAAAGATACTCATTTGAAGAGGTACAGTAGAGTCCGTTCCCTTCCTAAATGTAGATTGCATCAGGTTTGTGTAAGATGCTGTAGAGGTAACCTGCTTCCTTTCTTTAAAAAGAAAAAGCTGGAAATTCCATTTCCTTTTCACTACTGGCTGGTGATCTTGAGTGAAACAAAGCTTTGGTGATCTCAGGGTCTATCCTAACTAGTTGTTGTGGTTTAACCATGCACAGATATACTGTAGGTTAGTAAATACTTGCTAGGGTTAAGGTGAGGGGATAGATTCCTCCTCTTCAATAGAAAGGTCGATAATTTGAATAGAGAGAAAAAACTCACTGAAAAATTGAGGACCTTCCTTCTGCATCAAAATGGTGCTTCAGCATGACTAAAATAAGAAATTATTCCTGACTGTTATTGCTTATGTTTCTATGATGCTGTTTAGAAGAGTAGCTACTGTTAAAAGCAGAACATAATCCAGTGTGCCAATCTGCTTGCTTTTTGAATTCAATCTAGTTTTCCTTATTTCCCATTTCAAACTGTACCATTCTCTATTTTGGAGACAGACTGCATCTTGCAGTGACTGAAGAAAGGGAGGGGCATTGTGTACAGACAGTATGGGATCTGCTCTTTAGTGACTAACGTGATTTGGACCCCTCGTGAAAGTGTTGTCATTCCTGGCTTGATAATCCTCTTGGTACTGTACACATACCATATTGGAGCCTGTGAGGTGCATACATAGTGTTCTTCGGATATGTTTCAGCCTTTAAGCTTTAGAAGTTATTTTGTCAGAATCAGGGCTTGCCCTGAAACTACTTGTTGACTCTTTCACCCTCTCATTAGGAAAAGTGGGTTGAAGTTGCTCCGATGAAGATCCCAAGAGCTGGTGTGTGTGTTGTGGCTGTGAATGGACTCCTCTATGCCTTGGGAGGCCGAGCTCCCAGTCCTGATTTTGCTGCTCCGGTAACCTCTGACTCTGTTGAAGTTTATAACCCTCATATGGACAGTTGGACTGAAATTGCCAACATGATCACCAGCCGCTGCGAAGGAGGTGTGGCCGTGCTGTAAAACACAAAGAAGAAAACTCATTGAAGGAATGAGTAAATCTGTCTCCTCAGGTCTCCGGTTTCATAGGCCAGAAACCTTTTTTAACACAGGAGCTGCAGCGGAGAATTAGATCAGAGGGATTTTCCTGAGCAAAAGGAAAAGCCCTTCAAAGTAAATTGGCTTATCCAGTGTCTGTCTTGGGAAGTATTCTGTTAAGAGTAGGAATGCCTCTTATAACTGGATTAAGCTCACTGAAATAAATGGTGAATTTGCCCCGTAAAAATCTGAAGAAATAATTCCAGCATGTCAGAGACATTAATCAGGTTGTTAACTCTCTCACATGCACCCAAGCTGGCATTTTAGCTGCCCTTGCAGTCTGGAAGGGGGTTACTATGGACAGCAAGGAGTTACCTGGAGATAAGACCAGGTGGGCAATTTGGATGGCATTAGTTGTCTTTTTCTGGTGGAAAACAAGGAAGAGAAGGTAACGGGGGAAGCTTGGTGTCTCTACTTATGACCTTGATACATTTGAGCCTCTTTTCTGCTCCTGGACATTAAATATGAATTGGATATTTACTTTCTGGCTACTCCACTCACTTGGATGGTGAGTGGCTGAGAATTTCCTATTTTGGAAGGTTATCCTTACAGTTCTAATAATGTCATTCCACTTAAGCATTGGCTTTTCTTCTCAGTGGTATCAGCTATGACAGTAGAGCTCCTTTTTGTGTAAGCTCTGATCAATTTTAAATGGAAATGCTATTCATTAGATTTGCTGTTCTCTTTAGGACTGCTCTTAGTAAAAAAAATTAGGGAAAGCCTTTTTCCCCCATTTTGTTTCCCCACAGTTAAATGTGCTTTTACCCTGTGTGACACATGCTGAGACTTGGCATTGGAGTATTTGCTGTTCTAGAAGGCACACACGTTCACCTTCACTGCATCTTGTGCCTCTTCCAAATTTGAGCCAATGGAGCTTTCTGTGATAGAATTAGCTGCACTCAGCATTAAAGTGATGCTATCAGTGTGCTCTTGAGGAGTTCGTGTTTAGCTTGGATACATCTAGTAGAACAAACCTACTAGGAGTTTGGAGTTTTTTCTAGATTCATTTAATTAACAAATTTGATGTTGCTTTTTGCACACTTGTGATTGCATTTTCTGCACAGCTGTGGATGATTTGGATGGAGCCTGAAGTGAGGCTGCTTGAACTTTGATAGACAGTGTTATTCTGGAACACAAAACCGCAAGTGGAATGTCACTGAACAGGAAGCCTGCACGGTGTAGACAAAGGAGCATTCATGCTGTCTAGGTCAATATCCCCTGTGTAAAAGTAACTAATTAATACAGGAATCAAATCCTCCAAGGTGAGTGCTGCAGGTACCTTAAGAATCTAGGTTTTAAAATCTGACATAGGGTTGGGCTAAAACATGCTACGTGATGGAGAGTTTCTTTCTCTGATTGTTCTATAATCTTGTGTGTGCTTTTACTTCAGAGGATTTCTTATATGTCTGAATTAATGTCTATTTTTTTCAAGTATAAGCTTGTATTAAACAGCATTTCATAATAAAATACGTTTTCAGAACTGACTGTGGAATGCTCTTGAATAGGTTGAATGAGTTGCATCACTGCCACTTTCATATAATAGGTCCTTTTTTCTTTTTATTGAAAATCCTATTTTCCAGTAGAACATTAGAAAAAGGTTGGTTATAAGTTGTGACTGTTTGAGTGGTGCAAGTAACACCTTTCTGCAGTAAAACATTCACGTCTCTTCTCAGTGTAAAATCACTCAGACTTCCTGGGAGTCTGGCTGCCTTGCCAGCTCTATTCAGCCCTCTGTGGGATGAAATTACAGGTAATATTTCTTGGGCATTCTTCTTTACATTTCAGGGTCTCTTGTGGAACCATTGGAGGAATACCTTTGCTGTATTTTATTAGTTTGGGAACTAGGAGTTCACTTCTGATCCCTACCCCTAAACTTCCTGGTTTAATGGAGCTTGAGGGAGCCTGCAGTTGTGTGGAGTTACCTTCTCCAGGTTCTGTAGCTGATTCCATCATGTTTGAATGGAACTTGGAAGCTGATTGATTATGGCCTCTGATACTCAGCACCTCTTTCACTGAATCAAGCCAAAGGCAGGTCTCTACTCTGGATCCATCTTAAACAATGACACGTGTAAGTAAGAAAGAACAGAAAAAAACATTTTAGTTCATAAACTCAATTTTATTTTTGTTTCAGAGGGATGATGCTGTTAACATACAAAAGTTGACAGGTTGCCAAAGTGAGAGGCTGGTGTACAGAGCTGCTGTTTCAGCAATATCATACAAGATGGCTCTATCTCCAGGACAGGCAGGCTTCTTAAACCTCTGTTCTTTGCAGAATGAACAAAGTTTAAGTGACAGTATGTGCTTTAGTCCGGGTAGAACAACAAAGGTTAGTGATTTAAACAACTGCAAGGATCATCTGGTCCTAAAACCGTGTGTGGACGTCACTTTTCAGCTTTCTTGCATATTGTACTGTACTTAAAGACTTACAATTAAAAGCTTACAATAAACATGCTCACATACAATTTCATAGCTTTCTGGAGGTACCTGAGACTAGAGAAGAGAATCCACGTGACTTCTTCCACTAAATGATGTATTAGGAAGACTGAAGTACAAAGGCCATCTGCTTCTGCAGGGGTTTCAGTAACAGGCCCATCATGGAGGGTTTGCAGACTACAAATGCATCTGTACCTGTTCTGGGTGCTCAAATGTATGGATTCTTAGGAGGGACAAGACACAAACTACTTTCAATCCCTTAACTAATCCCTTAGTGCCAGCACTGGAGTCCTTGTGTCCTACTGTACCTCTGTCTGTGTGTATAACATCAGTTTGCAGTGCTTTAATTTAGGAGTGTGACAGATCTTCATGGCTGTGTTGCATGCAGCTTCCTTTGCTGGGCAGCCCTAATTCCAAACAAAACCTCAGAGCAGGTGGCCCACATATCCTTTTTTATTTCAGTAAGCCTGAGCAGGAAGTTGACCTTCTGTCTTCTCTGGTGCCTTGTCAAAGATACAAAGCTCCCCCTTCAGCTTTCCCCACTCCAGCACAGCAACTGAATGACACAAATTAGGTGAGTGCTGACCTTGGCTTGCCCTGCAAACAAACCTCACCTGTCCTTTCTTACTGACTCTACAGAGCACTTCCTCACACAGCATCCCTGGAAGTGTTCAGGCTGGATGGAGCTCTGAGCAGCCTGGTCGAGTGGAAGGTGTCCCTGTCCACAGCAGGGGGGTTGGAATGAGATGATCTTTAAGATCCCTTCCAACCCAAATGATTCCGTGATTTTCAGCACCTTCTCAGGGGAAATAGGAGTCTTGTTCCAGAACACAGGAACTGAACACGGATGTGCTTGTGCACAGTTCTCTGCTGCTGCTTTAAGCACCAAACTACAACTGCTTTCACCTTGTTACTGTTTGTGACCACACAGTTGTCCTCCCCATCTCAGAACATGATCACACATTATAGTTAAACCAGATACTTTAATAATTCAGCCTACAGCAATTCATACCCACATCATTTTGAATCTCCATTTGAAATTCCTATGACAGCAATATCTCGTTAAAGAGTGATTCCTTATTCCATGGATAAGGACAGACTCCCGTTTACCTTGGAAGTCATTGCTATTTGCAATCCTTCCCTCCTAAACTAGCTCGAAAGTCAGTAGGAAAATCAAGTTTGCTTTGAGAGTAAGCATCTTGATCCCTGCCATCATCACTTCTAAGCACAAATCAGTTCTTTATTTCTCCTGGAACTCCATGCAAATATCTTACTGGCAGACAATATCTTTTCCCTATTGATTTATTATTTTGTGTTCTGCCATTTATCTCTGCCTTCAAGTCTCTGCACCTCGAAAATGAGCTTCAGTGCTGCAGTGGCCAATAGGGATAACACCATCACCACTGTTCCCCACACCCTCAGTCTTTTAAAGCCTCTCGGGTAAGGGGGAAGAAGGGCAATGTCATAATGCAGAGCTATCCCCAAGGCCATCACCACCATCACTGCTCCCAAGGTGGCATCCTTGAAGAGCAAGGCCTGCCAGGCAAACACAGGAGGAACGACACTATTAGCCAGGTTCAGCCAGTCTGGCTTGGCTGGGCTGTTTTCCGGAAGGGCAAAGCCCCACCTCATTCCCCCCAGGAAAGAGGCTGTCACAGCACCGTATGTGACCTGAGCAAAGGCCACCTCGGGGTAGTAGGTGCCCTGGATGACCATGGCCAGTGGTGCCATCACAAAGGGAACCAGCCCCCCCAGGCTCAGGTAAAGGGCCGGCTTGGGAACGTCCTTCAGGGATTCCTTGCTTTTTTCGGATTCCGTCTCAGATTCTGGAGGCTTTTTCTTCTTGGAGACAGGGAGAGAGGTGTGAAAAGCCTGGAGCTGGGTTGCATAAACTGATGCTGGTTTGAGGCTTGGAGGTCTTGAGAGAGGACACACATCCCTCCGGAGCCAGAGGCCAAGGGAAGACCAAGTTGTCTTATTCTCTGCACGGAGCAGCAGCCTGGGACCCGTTAACTTCTGGAGCTGCAAGCATAAAACTTGTCCTGAGCACCACACAGTGCAGGCTTACAGACCTGCAGTTACCTCAGCCACCTATGGAATATTGCACCAAGTGGTTTTCCAGGTCAGGTCACATCACAGCTGTCCCTGCTCTTGGATTTCAGGTGTTTTTAACTGAACTAACCAAGGTACCCCATGCAGCTGATGAAGAGCAACTGGGCTCTCCAGAGTGAGTAAGAAAACCTTTACTCACTGCAAAAGGTTTGTACACCCACCCATCCTTCCCCCCACACATGTGTTCTTTAGGCACTTTTAAAATATACCAGTCCCTTTCAGAACAAAATGTAAAATAATTTCCTGCTGAAGCAGGACAAGGTCACCTCAGCAATAACTACTATCCCCTCACTGCTCTATCAAAAAGTGAGAGGAAAAACGACCTTGAGACAATAAAATTTCATTTTATAAAAGAAACAGCTTTGCCTAAAGGTGCTGTAGGAACCAGGAGCTCTCCCAGAAGAGCTGACTGATAAAACAGCTGGCTACTTCAACTGAAACCCACCTTTTTTTTTTTTCAAAGCTGCAGTTCATATCTTTTCCTATTTTACTTCTAAATAAAAACAGAGAGCAAAGAAAGGCTTCAGTAACTTACTCTGAAAGATGTGTGGAAGCAGCATCGTTGTATGAGAGGAAACATATTTGTTTTATCAACGTCCTAAAACCAGAAAAATTCAGGAGAAGGTCTGAAACTGATGAATAGGTGAGTTTGTCTTATGTCCAAAGTCTACACTTATCAGATGCTTACCGACTCTTACAGGTGTATTTTAAAGAAATATATATATGTTTCTTCATTTCTCCTGGAACTCCACACAAATACCTCATTGGCAGATAATATCTTTTCCCTATTCATTTATTAGGTTCTGATCTGCAATTTATTGCTGCCTTCTCTTCTCTGTTCCTCTAAAATAAGCTATAAAATATATAATATATGTACACAATCTGTACGTGCCCACTACAGAATACTTTGTTTCAGGCAGCTTTATGAACTGAAGCGGTAAAGTTTTAATAAGTGTTGCAAGAACAATTTCTGGTTAATGAACGGAGTATCAGGGAATAGGCGACGGCTTCCTCTTCATGGATCATCTCCTTTTCAAGGGATAAATGGCTGCGCACAGCTGATAAACGAGCAATTCCTCACATGAGGAAAAAGCGATCTTTAACAAAAGAAGGAGTGGAAAGGCCATCCCATCCCAAGCGGCAGGTAAGCTCCCTGCGGATGACACTCACCGGGGAAGGCAGTTCCCAGTCCTGCTGCTCCGGGGAAGGGCGGCGGCTCCGCACGGCCAAAGTCCCCGCACAGAGGGAAAGGGGAGAGGAAGAAGAAGGAGCCCCGCTGCCCACGGGCACCGGGCGGGA